CAATTAATGGTGTACCGCTTCTGCCGTTTGCCCTGACCTGCTTCCTTACAGCTTATAAGGCTACCAGCTCACGTCTATTTTCACCACAAGAATACATTTGTTTCGTCATACTAATAAGCCAGTTCAATATTTAGCCGGGATAGCACTACGATTCTCAAAAATATAGCTCATAAGATGAAATTCGACCGTTAAACAGCACAGCGGAAATGAAAGCAGCTTGTCTGACAGTTTCGTTTCCGAAACCGCAATGATAGGTTAATTTCTGCGGTTATTACTGAAAAGCATCCGGCTGACCCGGATCGGATGTTACTAAAACTGGGAACGGGGAACGGGGAACGGGGAACGGGGAACCGGGAACGGGAGTCTGGGAACGAGTGTACAGCGGTGATCCGCCTAAGAATTCGACATGGCGGACGAAGGAAAAGAAAAGGGAACAATTTGGGGAAATGCGAGGAAGTTTTTTTATGGCTGTAAATGTGAGTTTCTACCGTCTGTGTTTTAATAGATCTTTAACAGCATGAGAAGAGCATTTGAAGAAGAAACGCTTTAATGCTAAAGAGATCCTAACCGCAAAGAACGATTAGAGCGGGAGCTTCGAGGAAGATGGTCTGCTCTATTTTGGTTTTTACAATGGGACCTACGCAGAGGTACTGCCGAGTTTAGGAGACAAAACATTTGTGTACAAGTAAGTGCAATGAATCGCGCCCGATCTCCTGAAACCTATTATTGACCGAGATTATCAGTGAGATAAAGCATGGCGTTTACGCGGCGAACGGCAAAGGTGAAACTTTTGCCGTCTGTCTTGGCTGTTTGTGCTTTTTATAGATTTGTATTTGAGGATATATAGATTTGTATTTGAGGTGAAAATTAGGAGTCGTTTTGCTATTTTTGTGTGATATATTTAAAGAAAAGATTACAAAATCTGCAAAATCAAAGAGGCAATTTTTTTGCCGTTTGCCGTAAACGTCGAATTGTAGTTACCTGGGGCCGCGGTGAGGTCTCCTAAAAGGGTTTCAACGGTCAATATTGTCGAAAAGCATAATATATTAATTAATCTTTCTGCTACGCGTATTGGCCATTTTAACAGTACGACTCGATATAATTTAAGTAATCACTACGCTGTAGATCAATTTAAAAAAAAAAACTATAATATTTTAGTACTGCTTCTAGTCTCCTTCGCAGCCCCAAACGGCTCCGAAGGTGACTAGCTCTGGTTAAAAGGTCGTTCAAAGGAAGTGGCACCCGGGAAGTGGTATCTTCCAGTTCGACTTTATTTTTGTTAGCGAATTTGAACTTTTTCCAATAGAACTGGTCTTTTTAACCTTTCGAAGGAGATGGCTTTACCTCATTTTGAAATGGCAACTGAAATATTTCGATAGTGAATAGATCATTAGATTAATTGTTACTTGAACCAAAATAATGCTCAAGAGCTAGAGAACTAGAGTAAGTGTATGTATAACCATCTGCGTGGATGTATTTTGTTTCTTTAATTTCCAGGTTCATGTCTCGTTCAAAGAGAGCAGAGTACTATTGTTCTATATTGATCACGACGCATCTTTCCGTTGGTTAATTAAAACTATTTAATTTTTCAGTAATTTTCAAGCTGTAGTTAGATTTTATATTTCCCAAAATTTACTTGAGCAATTGATTATCAGATGGGGAAATGCTTGTTTATGTGTACCACAAGGTATACGGAAATTTCCATGTACGTTTTGCTATGTGTAGTCATAAGGTACATTTCCATGTACCTTGCCATGTGTTTCGTTGTAGGGTACATGTAAATTTCCATGTACCTTGTCATGTGTTTCGTTGCAAGGTACATGGAAATTTCCGTGTACCTTGCCATGTGTTTCGTTGCAAGGTACATGGAAATTTCCGTGTACCTTGCCATGTGTTTCGTTGCAAGGTACATGGAAATTTCCATGTACGTCGCCATGTGTTTCGTTGCAAGGTACATGGAAATTTCCATGTTCGTTGCCTTATGTTTTGTAAAAGGTACATGGAAATTTCCATGTTCGTTGCCTTATGTTTTGTAAAAGGTACATGGAAATTTCCATGTACCTTGCCAGATGTTTCGTAGAAGAAGAAAATTGACGGAGATTACCTCAATTACCGATAAATTTGCCAATCGTTTTTAAAACTGGCAAAATTAACAAAATACGCGTTCTTTTACGCCAAGAGAAAGCTGCCTCTTACAACCTTTTTACCAAAAATAAACATTTAGGCCTACTTTTTACCATATTTGTTGCCTTCCTTGCAGAAAACACCTCTTTTAAGCTGATTCTTGCAACTAGATCTTGGCAAAAATCTTAACTTTTCGTAACATTTTTACCATAGCTGTCTTCAAAGCTCCGGTCCTGGTAAAGTTTTCAGTTATTTACTCATTTCTTACCAGCTAACATTTTCAATTCTCATGGCAAAATTGTGCCAAAATATTTACCACTCTGGCAAAAAAAATAGCCAAAAAGGGCATTTTATGCCAGATTTGTTAATTTTATCTGGAAAAAAAGCCGATTTCCTTTATTTGTTTCAGAAATTGCGTTTTATAATATCCCGTTTGTTTTTAGAACGTGTTAGTCTTCCTGATGTAACATATATAGTGCTGTTTTCTAGTGCT